GGAAAAAATAACCCCAACTATACATACAATATGATGGGAGCTAAATTTAGCTACAACTAATCAGGAAAGATCTTGGAATCATCATGGATAGTTCTCTGAAGATGTCCACGCAGTGTGCAGCAGCAGCCAAAAAAGCAAACAGGATGCTAGGAATCATTAGAAAAGGGATAGAGAATAAGACGGAGAATATCTTATTGTCCTTATATAAACCCATGGTACCCCCACATCTTGAATACTGCGTACAGATGTGGTCTCCTCATTTCAAAAAAAAGATATACTGGCATTAGAAAAGGTTCAGAGGGGTTTGGAACGGGTCCCATATGAGGAGAGATTAAAGAGGCTAGGACTTTTCAGATTGGAAAAAAGGAGACTTAGGGGGGAATATGATAGAGGTATATAAAATCATGAGTGATGTGGAGAAAGTGAATTAGAAAAAGGTATTTACTTGTTTCATTAATACAAGAACTAGGGGCCACCAAATGAAATTAATAGGCAGCAGGTTTAAAACAAATAAAAGGAAGTTCTTCTTCACACAGCGCACAGTCAACCTGTGGAACTCCTTGCCTGAGGACGTTGAAGGCTAGGACTATAACAGGGTTTAAAAGAAAACTGGATAAATTCATGGAGGTTAAGTCCATTAATGGCTATTAGCCAGGATGGGTAAGGAATGGTGTCCCTAGCCTCTGTTTGTCAGAGGATGGAGATGGTTGGCAGGAGAGAGATCACTTGATCGTTACCTGTTAGGTTCACTCCCTCTGGGACATCTGGCATTGGTCACTGTCGGTGACAGGATACTGGGCTGGATGGACCTTTGGTTTGACCCGGTATGGCCATTCTTATGTTCACTTATGTTCTTATGTTCACATAGTAACATAAATAATGACAGAGCTATATCGGAGGTCAAACCCATGAACAAAATTCCTGTAGCAAAAGCGCCCACTGTGCTGCAACTTGGGTAGCTCTATATTGAAATAACTTCTAATGAAAATCCACTATATATACAACTGGGTGTGTGACACACAGTGCAATACAACCTATATTACATTACTCCTGCATGCTGCTTTCTTACCTGAGAATTTGGATCCTTGCTTCTTTGTGCTGATAAGAAGGCTACTGCCATAAAATATTCAGGCCATTCCAAATAGTCCTCCCGTTTTTTACAGAGCATTTCACTGCCAAACCTACAAAATCAAATAGAACAGGCAGTCAATAAAGAAGCTATAGCTTGCATTTCCTAATTTTTATTTATTTTTAAAGAGATAAAGTAAAGCCCCTTTATTGCTTGCTTTCAAAACACACTGGGGACCAGATTCTGTTCCTGGTTACACTGATATAAAATCCAGTGGAGTTACTCTGGATTTACCCCATTGTAGACAGCAGCAGAATCTGTCCCTGAATGTTATGGATTCACATCAGAAGTTTAATGGTAAATCATATCAGTGTTTTGCCCTGAACCTATAAGCAACACTTCCCTTCAAACAAAAGAGGCCAAAAGGCGATCATAAATTGCAGCTTTCGATGAAATAATTCAGTCTTTGAATAGCTCAATGCCAGGTATTATCTATCCCTCAAAGATAACCACCTGCATATTTCTCAGAAAAGGTATGTCCCCTGTTCCTATATTACCAAACTCTTTTCACTCAGGCAATGTAATCTCTTATGCCCATTGTTCTAATTGCAAACATCTGATTCAGGCTATTTGTTATGGCCAATAATAAAGACTAGTAAGCAGACTTGTGTTTGGAATCGCTCTTTGTGGTTAAACCTCTCTTGGTGCCACTACGGCCATGAGTTGCCTTCACTTACAACACCTACAAGCAATATTCCTGATGTGTACTATCAGGCTACAAGTGGTTCAAATGGCCTCATCATGCATCTGCTGCAGAACAAACCGGCCACACACACAAGCAGCTACAAACTGCCAGTCCTCCCTCCCCCCATCTTGTTCCCTATCATACGAGTCAACAGATCTCATCAAGCATAAACAGGTAAATAGGGCTTTAAACAATACATTTAGGATGGTAGGAGCATGTGTCCAGCTTTAAAGTGAGGCTTCCAGCCTCTTCCCTAAACTGGGAGGGCAGAAAAGAGTTTCATGCATCAAGTTATGTTGAGGTTAAAGAACGACAACAAAAAAATATAGAAAGAGAACTGATCTGCATAACTCAACCCACCCCACCACACAGAGACTATTATCTACCAAGGCATTTACTCACTGTTCACCACCACGATATACAAGCACCGAAGCAGGTATAGTAGCAACAGTTACCAACTCTTCCATCTCAAGCAGGAGACTCCTGCAATATATCTCCAAACTCTTACGTAATAATTTGTTTTTAAAAAAAATCAAGAGTAAAAAGTCTTGCTCAGGTACAGGCCCTTTAAAGGTGACCTGCAAAAAACTGAAAGGAGCAAAATGAATTTGTGCTCCTTTTTCCACACCCTTTTTTATCATATAAATAAAGGCAGCTTGAAAGGTAGTAGTTTTTTCCCCTGCTTGCTTTTTAATTTAATATATAAAAATCTTTTCTTCCCTATGTTTTGCTGAAGGAGTGTTGGGAAGACTGGAGAACTGTACTGAGTACTTCCATATCCCACAGTTGAAGGAGTGGGTGCAAGAAACCTCTCACAAAAATATTTTTTCTTGGCTGTAATGTGTCTGCTTAACTCAAATACGTCAAAATAGAAAGAGAGTTTGAATCTACAAACTGACCATAAACTCTTCCTTTCCCAACTGCACTTAAAAAAACAAAACAAAAAAGCAAAAACAAAAAACCCCACTTGTTATCTCATAATCCCATCAGTTCTCCAGTCATCCACAGGGTATTCTATATAAACATGGTAGATAACCAGAGGTGAAAGCAAGCCGGTGCGGTCCGGTACAGCGTACCGGAAAGAGCCAGTACGCCGTGCCAAACCGCACCGGCTTCCGCGGCGGGGATTTAAAGGGCTCTGGGCTCCAGCAACCGGGCTGGGGACGGATTTAAAGGGTTCAGAGCTCCCGCGACTGCGGGGAGCCCAGAGCCCTTTAAATCCCGCCCGTGGCTCCGGCGTTCGAGCTGGGGCCGGGATTTAAAGGGCTCAAAGCTCCCCGCAGCGGCAGGAACTCCAGGCCCTTTAAATCCCACCTGCAGCTCCAGCCCTTTAATTTGCCCCTGAGCCCCAGGGGCTCCCAGCCACCTCTGCAGCTGGGAGCCCCAGGTTGATTTAAGGGCCCTGGGGCTCCCAGCCACAGCCAGTGCCCCAGGGCCTTTAAATCTTGAGAGGCCCCACCTCTTCCGTATGAGGCCCCGCCCCCTCAGGACTCCGGCAGTACCTGTAAGTCCTGTAAGTTACTTTCACCCCTGTAGATAACCTGTAAAAACATATAGGAACAAAGTTCTTTTCTTTTTTTAATCTAGAGTTGCTGTTACTAAGGATCCCAGTTAAAAATATCAGAAAGACAGGAAGAAAAGAAAGTTGTGAAATAGTATCCACTCTAGTAAAAAGCTCTAAGACAATGGAGAATGCCCTGCAAGAGGGGACCTCAGAGGCACTTTTCAGCAGCTGGTGGCCTCCCATCAGACAGCAGGACACCTCCCAGCAATGCAGAGTCAGGAGCCCTCTGCATACAAAAATACATTAGGAAGGAGATTTAACTGCAAGGATTTTTCCTATGTTATTTTGTTCTAAAAGTTGGGTGGGGAAGCAGTCTAGAGGCTAGTAGTACCACTATTAAAAATACAGGTTGTGAACGTGGAAATTTGACTCTCTCTTGATAGGGGAAATTTTCATCCTCTCTATTCCTGGTGAGAGAAAAGTTTGTTATGCTGGACAGGCAAAACATATCAGTCATCCTTCTATCCTAAATATGCAGCACAAGTAAAGGATTCTGCCAGCACTGGCCTGAGGACTTTCCTACTGCCCTATAAGGAAGGAACAATTCTTGGTGAAGGATTACAGTGTGATAGAAAAAGGAAAAACTGGAAACCTGTCATGAAGTCCCAATACTCACACACCATCACAGCCTCAGGGTAGGCAAGCTGTGACAATCTGAATGAATTAATTTCAACAGATTTGAGTGAGACTAGTGTCTCATTGAAACACACAGGAAAAAAAAAAGGGGGGGGGTGGAAATCACAAATGGAAGAGACTTTAGAAGCTACCTTCCTTAAAAATCAATCCAAATTGAGCAAGATTCACAGTAAAAATGTTGGGGATGTATAACTGATGTTGGAAATGGCATACATTACACATAATGTGGAGCTAAATAAAAATTCTGGATGAAGCCCTCCAAATAGCTAATGTTATATTGAATAGAGGGAAAGAGGAACATTTTTTCCTGCAATCTCTATTGCTAAACTATTTCCAGGAAACCATATTTACATATAACAAAGAACCAAGCTATTACATATATTCTTCTTGTGTGCCAAACTCTACATAACACATAACTGGAAATCCTCCAAGGTACCAACTTTGCATGAATGGATTAGAGAAGTGACATACTACAAAATCAATGAAAGGCTTGTACAGAAAGAAAGAGGCTCTACAGTTCTGGTTTGTTTGTTTTTTAATGGCACTTATGGACAGACTTATGACTAACAATAACAACTTTCGCCAGATTCTCCACTCCCTGCACCTTGTGCACCTATTTACACCAGCACAGAATGGGATAAAATGCGACTGTTCTGATTTAGTAGCATCCAAGCTAAGAGTGCAGTCAAGTGCACACAAGAGAGGAGCTTGAAGATTAAGGAGGAGACAAACTGGTGGAGATGCATGTAAATTTAGCATATTTTAGCAAGTTGCCATTCTTAACCCCCAATCTGTGAAACCTGGAACTATACGATTAGAAATTACCACCGGAAATGTTCAGATATCTACCACATATTTTCATAAGGCTGAACATTGTGATGTGTTCCAAGGCTCTGTGAATTTAACTGATAAAAATATTGGGACGATAATTCCCACAAAATGAAAGCTGAGAGCAAAGTAGGAAATTTACAACTATTACGCTTACTTCTGCTCAAAAGATCCCTGATGAAAGAGATCTCTCTTCAGCAAATTACAGAACTACTGGCAAGGTGTAGGCCACACTGTGCAAAATGATATATTGAAAGCAGCACGAGATAAAGAGAAACTGAAATGTAAAGAATAATGTTTTTTTTTCCAAATTACACCTCCAGCCTGGCTAAGAACATCACCAAGTTATTCTTCAGTTAAAAAAAAAAAGAGTAAGGCATCTCACCAGCCTTTTTTTAAGTCCAGATAGCCTTCAAGTTAGTTATGGCAACACACGTACAGTTCCAGAACACCTGAAAATGCAACAATTGCATTTAGCAAAAGAGTTCACTAAAGAAATTATGAAAGATTTAGCGGAGAATCCTGAAATAGACTATGACCCTGGCTCTGCTCTCAAACCAGAGTAAATTGAGGTCAATGGAGTTGTAAAGTACAGTCTGAGGAAAATTGGGCCCTAGGTCCCTAGCCTTATTATTCATATTTGTAGTTTTTTCCTCTATTTTCACTGTCTGACCTATATACATGTTACAGCCACATCTGAATTAGGGTTTATATAACATTAAGTCTGTTCCTGGAAATCAATATTCAATTGACAGGATTTGAGTATTTATTCAGGAATTGGAGACTTGGGTGATGCTCCACCTCCCAGAGAGGCACAAGGAACATGTGGACTTGACCTCTAGCTATTAACTTCCCTCCCAACACCCCTAATTGTTTTATTTATAGCTGCTAGTCAAGAAAATTAGTTGATTCCTTTACTTTAATTAGATTGTCTTCCCTCCCCCATATGGTTATTGAGGGGTGATACTTAAATATATATAAATATCTATTTTCCAGCAAAGAATAAAGAGTATTTCTTACAATTGCATGTTACCCCCCACATAGAAGATTGGCTATAATCAAAATCTTTACAGAAGATAATACTGTTTATGTTTACAATTTCCAAGCCTTTTGGCAATAATCAGTCCCTCTTGAGGACTCTGTAAGAGTGAATAATGTTTCCACAATTCACATGGTATTTTGCATTCACAGAATCATTTTGGGAATTTAATTATTTTTGTATTCTTTATGCCAGTCTCTGTTTTGGGGCATACTGAATCTGGGGTGCTTTTTCTTGGATCAGGATCTGTAGCTCCAGGATTGTGGGAAATGCTTTACTGTGTAGAGGACTCAGGACCCATTCCTCTAAGGCTACGTCCTCACTCCGGGGGGGGGAGGGGGTTGATTTAAGACACGCAAATTCAGCTACGCGAATAGTGTAGCTGAATTTGACGTATCAGAGCCGACTTACCCCGCTGTGAGGACGGCGGCAAATCGACCTCCTCGGCTCCCCCGTCGACAGCGCTTACTCCTACCTCCGCTGGTGGAGTAGAAGCGCCGATTCGGGGATCCATTGTCGCGTCCCGATGAGACACGATAATTCGATCCCCGAGAGATCAATTTCTACCCGCCGATTCAGGCGGGTAGTGTAGACCTGCCCTAAGTGACTACATGGTCTACTGGCATGGCACTCTCACAAAGTCCCAGTGACTTCAATAAAGTTCCACCTGCTTGGAGTCAATTACAGGACCAGGGCTTAAGTCCACAAGAGAGCCAATATACAATCACAGTGGCAAGTTTGTGCCAGTTCTCAAAATGATTACTTGTGATAAGTAACCCCAGAATCCTCCAATCTTTACATGAAACTTGGAATTGTTGCCATAATACAGCGGGCATAGATGGACAAGACCATATATACATTCTGTCCCAACCTACCCCATTTATAGCGTGCAACCATTTTAGCATACAGGGATTTAAAACAAAACAAAACAGAACTGCAAACAATTATGATATAATCAAGATATATTAATACCTGTTTTTCAATGGGTTTTGAAGTTTTTAGAGTGTCTAGAAGATAACCAGTGATGGTAGTTACTTTTACATTACACATTTAATCTCAATAAGCTTTGCAAATTATTTAGTATCATACAAACAGCTACACTGATCTGCTGCCACATCTTGGGTTGAGAAGCAGCAATTAATTAGCACACTGCAGGAAGGGTCTGTGCATGGAAATTTCGGCCAAGTGCACAGGGGCAAATACCAACTATCAGGAAACATGCCAAGAGGAGTGTAGTATACATGAAGAGTAAAGGCCTTTTCTGAAAATATCTTTAAAAGATATATCTAGATGTAAACACCAAAGAGACAGATTATTTAGTGGAACAAAGTAGCATATAACCAGGAATAACTAGATATAAGTGAGAGGGGAAATTTGGACTAAATAACAGAAAAAGCTTCCAGACAGTAAAATCTAACAGGTTGTGGAATAGACTCAAGGGAAAAAGCAGAAGCCCTCTCATGTGGGAAGATTTTAAATCAGATTTGGCAAAGAAAGTCTAATAAATGTAAACTCAAGAACAATCTCGCACTGGCAATACATTTAAACTCAATTTATTTCATTTGGAAGGACTCTACTGACACTTAGGATTTGAACCAGAGGCCTAAGACACTAACCCACCCCTGCCTGCTAGTGGGTAGCACTTACCTAGACCCTAGGGCAATGGGCACGTTATAAACCCTTCCAGCACAGCCTCACTCCTAATGCCCAGAGTGGCTGTTATTTGAAGGGGCCTGCGGCACGACTTTCACATCATTAGCCCGTGGTACTGTGCGCTGCCCCATCCACGATGCCAGCCCCAATGCGCCCTCATTGTCCTCCTTCCCATCCCATCCCATCCACCCCCGGCCCAGGGGGCATCCAGCAGCTGGCTGAGCCCCCACCCTGCCCTCACTCACACCCCACGGAAAGACCCTACTTCTGTGGATTCCCTGCCTGCATCGAGGGAGAGCAGCAATTAGCCGCGCGCCCCGCCGCGCCGCTGTAACCCGGCAGGGGCAGGGGCTGGGGCTGCGCCTCAGGCAGGGCAGCAAAGCACGGGCAGGGCAGGAGCGCACCCAGGGCCAGGAGGGTGCCTGAGGCCACGGGAACCAGGGTGACTCCCAACAGCGCCCCGAGACACGCGGCCGGAGCCGATTCCCCCCTCCGGGATGGAGCCCGGGGCGGCCGCTGGCTGTACCCATTGAGCTGGCCGCAGGGGCTGGGCTGATCCCCGTTCATCTCGCTAACACCGACTCCGCCGCTGCTGCCCGCAGACCCACGCTGTGCCCGTGCTCTTTGGCGCCAAAGCAGGAGAGGGCGGAGCCGCTGTGCCCCGCCCCTACCGCGTGACCGCGCCCAACCGTTCGCCTTGGGGCGCGCGTGGGGCTCTGGCAGAGGCCGGTGGCTGGGCTGGGAGGGGAGCGCAGGGCAGAGCCTGGGGACTTCAACTCCCAGCATGCCATGCCCCCTCTCGGCGAGGCGGCCCGGGCAGCATGGCATGCTGGGAGCCGTAGTCCCACGGGGGTGGGGCGGCGAAGCCCCTGCTCCCGTTCATTGCTGTTCAGCACAGGAGGCCGCGAAGACAGAATTGGTCCCCGGGCCTCCGCTGGTGGCAGCATGTCTGCGTGGTCCCCTGCCCCGGACCGAGTGCCAGCAGCTCCCTGCGGGTAAACGCATATGAAGTCACCCCCCCCCCTTAATAGTAGCGTACGATTAAAATATCTTGTCTGCCCTTCAGTGCCCATAGCTCTGCTCACCACAAAAGCCACGGGAGCGGCGGAGGGCAGACTTTGGACAGCCATGCGCAGCTTGCAGACATCCCTCGTTCCCAGGGACATCTCGGATTTGAATCCCAGAGTCAGCTGTGTTTCCCACAAACCGGGCCACTCTCGCCTCTGTGGCTGGAAATTATTTACATCAGGAGTAAGGTACCATGGATGGAGCCCTGCGGGGATACAAAATTTGGATCCGCATCCCGTGATCCGTAAACCTGGTCCACAGATATCCACCGTATCCACAGATGTCAAGCAGATATCCGCGAGTTTGCAGGGCTCTAACCTGGGGTTATAGTTTAAATGAAGGAAATTAAACCAACAGCATTTTAAGTTTCTTGCATGAATAATTTTTGTGTGTTCTTCATTGAGGGTCTGCCACACATTGCATCTTATTCTTGGGTCTTTGCATAGGCGCACGCACTATATGCATTTCACACAGATGTTTTACAAGTAAATCTTGTTTATTCAAACCCCAATTGTCAAAATTGTAGGTTATCTAAAATTCATTTTTGTCCCCAGAATATGAAATTCATATAGAAAGTGAATTGTATGTATCCACCACCTAGCCAAAAGTTTTGGCTGTCTCAAAAGATATTCAGACAACTGGAGTATACCTATATATACAGTGTCTAATACAGTGCAAATAAAGATTCAAGATCCAGTGCATAATATAATGCTAGTTATGTGCTCCCTTCTGTGGCTGGCCAGCTCTGCCAGCTCTCCGTGATATAATTTCCTGTCTATCCTGTTAGAGTAGCTGGCAGCACTTGCTCTGCAGTCGTGGCACTCAAATGAGTGCAAGAAAGAATTGCACTTATGGCTGTCTGCTGCACAGGGCTGCAAGGAGGAGGTAGAGAGTATACAAAAGGACTGGCAAAAATCCATCCCTAAGTGTTTGATACTGTTTGAAGTGTTTGAAGTCAATGGGAGCAGAAGTGGACACTAGTAGTAGGCTCAAAACAGAGGTCCTTAAATGTAAAGAGCTTCTTTAGAGTTCTGAATCAGCAGCCTATCATTTTTGAGCATGGGAAACTACAAGATGGAAGACATTTCATTTCAGATATATATTCCTGTTCATTTGTAAATCTGAAAAGTCTGTCAGTGCAGTAGCCAGGTATAGAATAGATCAGTCCTACAGCCTTTACTCAGGCAGAATTTCCATTTACTTTAATGTCTGAGACATAATCATGTCTCTAACTCTGTTAATTTCATATGTACAGAAAATGTTTTTGCAAAGTTATTGTTAACTGAAACAGAAAAAAAATTTAAAAGGAAAAGAAAATTAACTAAATAATTATCTGCAGGGAAAACAGGAGCCTGAAGGTGAAATGAAAGACCTGATTATGGTTGTTCATGGAAAGTTAAAGAACATTTATTTAATAAATCTTATTCTCCAGAGAATAATTTAGCAGTTAAACAAGTTTCTGGTATCTGTATGCATATATGTGCCTTCCCTAAGTATAAAACAGAGAATTAATGCTACAATTATCCATTCTAAATTAGGTTTTGTTCCTAGTTGTTTTTCTTATATGCAAAGTTTATGGTTCTGAAGACAAACCATAATAAATATTTAACATTTCAAAAACAGTTTATTTCTTTATGCTACGCACACACAACAAATTATTTTTTCTCTTCTGTGCCCTGAAGAAATAATATATTACAGTAAAATTATAAGCAATTGTTTCTTGCAGTGTTTTTTTTTGTTTAGCCAGAATGTGGTAGTGCTCCCTCTAGTGAATTTTTCATAATCTAAAATGATTAGGTACCTTTGCAGACAATTCCCTCTGTCTACATCCACTACACTTTCCAGCCAAGGAATAATATATAAAATTGAGCCAAAAATAACAGACACAGAAAAATCTGATCTCTCACTTTGCAAACAGGAACATGTTAAAAACAACAACAAAGAAATAGATACAGTTCATAAAATAACTATTCAGACTATTTTGTGCAGTTTTAATATAAAAACTGATATTTTAGGACAAGAAATTATAATAAAATATATTTTGAAATATAATAGTGAAATTTCTCCGGCATTGTTATCAAAAGAAGTTTGATTCCTTCACCAGAACAGGGACATTCAGCCCTTATTGATAGCGTCACAGTACTATGGTACTTTAAAGTTATCTTTTGAGTAGGCGTGAGCTCTGGAAGAAACGGGTTTAAGCAAAACCTCTCTCAGGTACTTCACTTACTCTTTTTGTTGCCTATGTATCTGACATTTTAGCTGTTTCACCATTCATTTCTCTTTTGTTCCAGAGAAGGAGAAAGTGAAGAAAAGTGAAGTATTTCAGAAAACCTATCATATAAAGAGGGAGGTTAGAAGTTCCTCCCGAGTTTTCTTTTCTTTTTTCTTAAGAGTTTTCAGCAATGCCTATTGCAAGCACATTTGTATAGATGTCAATACATAATATTACATTTAGCCACTTAACCCATCAAGTGAATTACAAACATTTGAGATGTCCTTGCAATGGAGAAGCCAGTTAGTTGCAAAAGAGACTCATATGCTAAATATTTAACCACTTGGCAACTGTTCATCAATTACTCAGGAAAAGAATCAGTGTAGAGAAATCCCAGGGATATGGTTAACTTTTTGCCATATTCTTGGGTTTCTCTACATTGATATGGGACTGTTTTTGCTAATTTATGTCTTGTAAATGTTATCTCTTCCCCATTCTCAGACTGCTGCCAGCTTGCATAAACTGCTTCCTTATGTTCCCAGGATGTTGCTTCCTTGAACAGCTTGAGTAAAGATGGTGGTATTGAAGGTATGACCAACACTGAATTCAAATTTTCTACTCTCTCCTCCAAGATCTCTTCTCTTTTTGAACATCTTATTCTCTGTCTTCCAGTTTCAAAATCTCTGTGGTTTATCAGCCTCCTAAATCCAACTTCCTCCTTTGGGGAAGGAGAAGACTCTTTAATATCTTCTCCCTGATTCTCCCTGAAGTCTCCTTTGCAGACTTCACCCTCACTGGGGACTTGAATGAGCATATTGACAACATATTTTTATATTTCTTCTAATTTACTTTCCATTTTTGACTGTCACCGCTTTGTCCCATTTATCATCTCACTTAAGAATATCCATAGACATACAATATTTCTCCTCATCCCCCATCATTTGCTTATTTTACTCATGCCATCATAAGAACAGTGAATGGGCCATACTGGGTCAGACCAAAGGTTCATGTAGCCCAGTATCCTGTCTTTCAACAGTGACCAATACCAGGTGCTTCAGAGGGAATGAACAGAACTGGTAATCATCAAGTCATCCATCCCCTGCCGCCCATTCCCATCAACACTGACCACCCTGGTTACAGTTAGACACTCTCTGCATTGCCTTGCTCCTCAGAAAATTACCCTGTCTCACTACTCATTGGTTTAATACCAATAGATTCTACAGCTGGATTTGCTCGTTCAAACCTTTGCTTGCTGATCCTTCCTTCTGGCTCATATGTTAATATTTACAGCTCTGATCAGTTTCTGCTTTTAATCAACTTGTCTCCATCAAAACCCACACTATTCCTTGCACTTCAAGTTCCCCCATTACACAGACCAGCTGCACTGAAGGGCACAGACCAGTACCTCAAAAGACAACAGCACAGGTTCTATCTCCATGCCCACCACAGGAACTGGAAGTTCTCATCAGACACTTAACTAGGATGCTCATTTGTGATGGGGTGGACTAGGCCCAAAGGTCCCTGCTAGACGCCTCAGGGTTCTGCCACACCCATCCCAGGGAAGGAGCAATGGAGAGGTCCTCCAAGCAGGATAGAATGGCTGCAGGGGAAGCAGCCAATCAGCCGTATAAAAGGAGCTGCAGCACAGTACAGCAGTCAGTTGCTGCTTGGAACAGGAGAAGAAAGGACTGTAGGCCTGGCTGCCTGGAAGAGCAGCAGGGCCTCAGGGAGCATTGAGGGAGCCCCTGGCTGGTTGCTAGAACTGTGTAGGGACTGAGCCTGGGGAGGGCTTCAGGAAGATAGTGTCTCCAGGAAGGAAGCTCTGGGGATACAGCCCCATACCAGGGCTCGACTACTTAAAGACCACAGCCCAGGGAGGGCTAGAAGGAGGGACCACCAGAGGGGTACTGAGATAGGTCCTAGTGAACCGTATACCCTGAAAGGGGGTTGTGCTGGTTAACATGCAGATAATGTGGCCGGAGCGCTGTGTCACTGACAAACCTGCCTGAAAACCATTGAAAGGGGTTATTAGAAGGGGGCATTCATGAGAGGTGGGTGCCAACCCTGTTACACCATTGGTTTGCAAAGTAAATCTTCTATGCTTATTTCCAATGATTCGAGCAATCCTTGCCCCCCTCTTCCAGAACATTATCTTCTCCACCCACTCACACCACACTCTAATCCCAATCATTTTCCAGGAATTTGTTTTCTGCTTTCAGTATACAGTTGCCTGTTTCATGACAATATCTCCTCCACCTGCAATACCTGCCCATGCTTTTCTTATCTTTCTTTTTCCTCTCCTCACCCTTCCTTGTTCTTTATGGATATTTGACATCATCTAGCCCTTTATGAAAATTACCTACTCTCTTGACTCTTTCTCTTTTATCATTAATTCCTGTCTCTTTTCCTTGCTTTCCTACATTACTTCCATTGTCTGGTAACTGTTCCCAATGCTTTAAAATCTGCTACTGTCCATAA